GTAATTTTTTAAATCTTGCATAGATCCGCTTTGATATCGTGGTATTATAGTTGATTGTTTCCAGTGTATAGGATACTCCCCATTGAGCATGGAAAGTGTAAATACATTAAGCAAAAACAGGGGGATCTCTGGAGCTCCGTGCGTGACTAGAATTGGCGGGATGTTGTCAGGGGCTGTGGAGCATGATGGCCGAACTAATCTGAGTTGGCGACATATGTCACTAAGGGTAAATTCAACAGTTTGGAGTGTATTACTGCCTCTGTGTATCAGCTTGAGCTGAGGATCTTCTTTCGCATTTGTGTCATAAATAGACATAAAGTAGTCATTGAAGATCGAACATATGATTGCACGATCGGTTATGGCAGTTCCATCAGAGTTTACAATTGTGTTTATACAACTTGATTTTCTATTCTGCCTACAGTCCAAAAGTTTTGAGATGCAGCCTACCACGTTGGCGCCCTTCGGTGCCATTACTTCCTCAGAGCATAGCATTTTGTGGTGTACTTAGTATAACGCTGTTAGCATTCTGGTGTGGAGCATTAGCAGAGTAAAATCGTTTGCTTTCCTAATTTTTTATTTATTTTATGAAGTTTAGTGGCTACCTTTTTTGAGAGGCCTGCTGGTGCAGCAGTCCTTTTCAACTTCTTAGTACGTTCTGGAGCCACAACTTCAACACAAAGCTGAATGCGGTGGTAGAATTCATTACAAGCAATTTGTACGTTTTGTGCTATGAAAAATGGATCCCAATATGAAGACCTTATAAGATTCGAGAAAATTGACCAATTCACAGAAGAGAATGGGCGGTAATTGATCACTGATTCTATCGGTTTAGAAAGAATTTGGAAAGAACAACCAACGATGTTATGATCACTACCCGGCAACTTGTCACTGATGTATGTGGACACATGCGAACATCCCATAGTAAATGTTAGACCAAGTGTGTTAACAAGCTGTGTAGGTTCTTTGACGTGCTGTACTCATCCCAGTCGACCAAGAGTAGACATAAAGGATTGTGTTTCTGTGGTTTATTGTTAAGGGACCATGGAATTTCGGGCATATTAAAATCCCCAGCGATTATTTTATTAGTGTATGAGAGGTCAGCAATAAAAGAAAATGTGTCCAACAAGTAATCGGTTACGGTGAGTGCAGACGATGGGAGTCTGTAAATACAACCTACTACGAGATTTGTTTGATTAATAGAAATGGTAATCCACGCCGAATCAGGAAGTTTCCGTAGGACTGGTTCATTCAGAGGAAGAACCAAATATTTGTCTTTGACGTAGAGTATACAGCCACCACCACTAACATAAAGGGGGTCATTACGCAAGATGTTATAACCCAGTATCCCGAACAATGTGTCAGACATCTCTGCTGAACACCATGTTTCTGTTATTAGTATTATATCAGGAGAAGAAAGGTGAAGAATTACGCAGGAAGTGCATTTTATTTAACAATGAACGGGAATTAATTAAATGCAGTGACTTGTTATCCGTTGGGTTGTCTACTGGAATCCAGGTAAAGGACCCCAACAAGGGGGTATTTGGAGAGAGTGGAGTGGGGGTGGTGGATGCGGAGGAGATATAATTTGCGGAAATAGTGTCAGTTGGAGGTGTGGCGGGTAAAACGACACTGGACCCCCTTAGAAGGTCGGAAGGGTGAAATACTGGGAAAATGGTGGCCCACTGGGAGATTACAGTTTTTTGGCTGTTGCACATAACCTACGTGCCAGTTAAGATTATTTACATGTTGAGGTAGTTTGAGAGGATTTGGGTTGTGCCAATTTCTCTCAGCTACTTGAAGTTCACTAGCAAGTGGCTCACAAGTTATGGAGCGCACAGGTCGCATATTCAAATGCTGCATGGTTGGCGATATGCTGGTTGTCTGCAGGTTTTCAGTGATGACAGCGTTTGGTGGAACGTTTAAAATAGCTGTGTTTTTATTGTGCTTAGGAGCACCCGTATAGATTCCACGTGAGGTTTTGCTACCAGTGTTCTTTGCAACAAGGATGTTCCTCAGTCTTAGAGGTTCAGAGCTTTTAGGAGAGGAGGTTTCCAGTTTCGTACCAGAGCGTCTATGCACCTGGTTGGTGAACGACAAAGAGTGAGTAGAAATAGTCGTTTACACAGTGGAACTTTCTTGTATGTTCGGGGACGAGTTGTGCAGTAATGCTGGACTAATGTGACACTGACTGGAGTCAGAAGCGATATTTTTATGACAGTTGCTATTTGATTTCAACCTTAGAGCTGATTCATTTATGGTCAGGGTGTTATCTAGGTCAACCAGGTGAGGAAATTCCTGAGTTTCCATGGGTAGTGGAACAAATAGGTCACAGACTGTTTGTCGGAAATAGGTTTTTTGCACTCCCTTTGTAGTACTGTTAAATCTGGTTTCAGGACCATGGATATGTAATCATTCCTAAGGGATAATGCGCTCCTACTACAAATGAATTTTTCAGCAAGTGTCGTTTGAAAATCAAAAAAGTACTGGACACACCTGCTTCAAAGATTTATTTGCAGCCTCACGCAAGAAAACTGCAGTCTTTCGACATGACAACCGTTTGCCACTGCAGAGGAGATAGCCTCGAGATAACTTTTCTGGTAAATTAAATGCGCTCATGCACCTCAAATGCAACATGCTGTATAAAATTTCCAACGGATCGAAGGTGTTCCATTTTTGGTGTATCTGGAGTGTTATAATGATAAGCGAGTTAAATTGCTCTGGGACTTGGTACAGAGATTCAAACCTTTCCTTCAAGTCCATCAGCTGTAGTTCAAGCGCAGCAATTGTTTGAATCGCTTTAGATGGCGATTCTGCATTAACTGCGCTGTGCTCTGAGAAACCTTATGAGAACTATCATTTGATTGCTTTTTTACTCTTACGCGCGATTTCTGTTTTATATTCATCTTAGGTGAGGAGCCTTTAATTTTTTCCGTGCTGACGGACTGGTTATAAGCAGGATGTTTTGCCAACGTTTCAGTGGCTTCCTGTCTCTTCATTGAATTTCTTGTTTTAACTGAAGTAACGAGCATTTTTACTGATTGGTCACTCGGTTTTAGGGCTTGTATAAACTTTTATGTAGACAAGGATAAGAAACTAGGCGACAAAGTTCACCGTTTCTGTTACAGTGATCAAGAGAAATCAAACAGTTATCGGCAAACCACAAGGAAACAGACTAGGATTTTAGGGCTTATACGACCTATCCAAAGTACACGAGAATCACACGGGTACGAACAGGCCAAGGTTTCAGATGCAACGATCGATACAAACCAACCGGTTGTAATAGTGCTCAGTTGTCCAAATTCCACCAAGGGTAGCTTGTCCTTCAGTAATCGACCGCTCCGTGCACAGGTAGCCCTGAGGTCAACTCCGTGGCGTGCCGCGTCACGTTACGCCGCAAGTTCCGACAGGCGCACACGCACAAATCCGGCCAAACAGATTTGCGTGCGTTCGATAGAACGTGATTCACAATGCGGCGTGAGAGCACTTGGCCAACCAAGGCAGTGTACGAAGATATAATTGCTTCTAGTTGCCTTATGCAGCTACCGACAGGGTTGGTTTAGGTCGCTTGAAGTAGACCTAGTAATAAGCTTCCAGATAACTCCAAAAACCTTGATGAAGGCAGAAAAATGTTGCACTCGTAGGCGAACGACTGTGCCAAAACGACAGCCAAAATTGAAAACCGGCGTTTGATGTTGATCCGTTTATAGCACCCTCAAGAAACTTTACGCAATGGGTAGACCTGATCGAGCCCGATTGAATGAGGGTACTCAGGCCGATGTGCGAAAAAATTTGAATCCGAAAACTTGAAGTCAGGAGCAACGAAAAAATTCCGACCAGCACGGCGGTTGATCACGGTGTTGGGAATCAGAGTGGTTAACTGCCCTCGGATAATAATGTTACGAACAGTTTTGAAATACTGTCGGTGAACTCAATATTACCTGCTATTGTCCACAAAACCAGCTACAAATCAAGATCCAATTCCCCCAGAAAACTAAAACTTGCTGCTGTGGGTCAATATCAGGTACGTCGCTGGTTGCAATAACATTTTAGGTCACTTGGGTTCATTCGGCAAATGAAAGAGAAAGTACCGTGAAAATTTATTGCTTTATACCGTCTACTTTAAAAAGAGTGAACTTAACCCTGACGAGCATCATCACCACAACTGCCTGGTTCCGCTTTTATTGCCAAGCGTATGCAGGTAGCAGTAAACCGTGCGCAGGTTGATGGGCAGTGAAAAGTTGAAAAACAAAGCTGCCTTTCCAAGGAATCTGCAACTGGTGACCCAGGGTAGCAAAAGTTTACTGTTTTACCCACGTCGAAGTACCGTTCAACAGATGAACCGAACACTGCTGGCGTCGACGGAAAAATGGAATATGCGCAATTGCCCGTGTTCGGAAGTGGGGCGTAGAACCGCCATTTTCCCATCACTTATGTTGATGATCGCCCATACTCTAGTTCGAATGCCAGGGTGTGGTGTGTGCGTTTCGAACACTGAGTGCTTGTCGCCTTCAAGTAATTTTTGCACACGACCACACTAGTGGGGATTACGAGCTCAGCGATTGTAAATCTGGTTTTGGCAAGTAACTTGGGCGGAATTTCCCTGTCAATTAAGTGAACTGGAGATGGCCATTTGAAAGACCGTCACGTAACTGGATGTCAGTCATCCAACCGACACATGCACTGTTATTTCATAGGGAAGTAAAAATAAATGGCGAAAGCAAGCCTAAATGACGAGGAAACCGCTAGACAACATAACCCCTACAAGCATGAATAGTCAGCACAGATATTGCATTATTGGACCACATTCTGTATTTCGGTAAACCGGTTTATAAACTACCGAATACTTATTATGTCAATCTTGCACTAGTCCGGCTTTAGCAGCTGTTGCGTGATTCGTTGAAGCACTTCTGTAATCGTTCCAACGAATGAAAACACGAGTGCTAACCAATTTACTGTTGTGGAGGTAATATGACGAGGAAGCGGAAAAATGGGAATTTTGACTGGTGATCGATAGTAATTTATTCAGAAGGCAATTTGGTGAGCATCAGCTAGGTGGATCATAATGTACAAAACCGAAACGCCAACAAAACCATGGAGGGATGACATTGACACAGAGTGTAAATCAACGATATAAAACCGATATTGTTCTGTGAACACGAGCTTTCAGTCACCTGGGAACGAGACCCCTTGGTTTGGGAAAAATTTCGGTCTCCGGTTTCTGCGCTCCGTTATGTGAGCTACAATATACACAGAAAGATTGCGTCTGTTCTGGGGTGGTTGAAATATGACAATAAACGTCAAACTTTCTATTCTGAGGATATATTACTACCGAGTCACAAGTAGATCAGTTTTTAGACTTCAAGACACTTTGTACGACAGAAGTAGCAAATGGCAGATAGGTGTATATAAACATTGTTTACTAAATAGTATGTAGCCACATACGAAAGCCACACATATGTAGCACAATTTAATTGGTTCAGGTGCAAGGAAGAAGTAAGGGGGGCAGAATAGTTCATCGCATTTGTACTCGGTCAGACAGCCAGCACATACCCGGAAAAGCACTGTACGGCTGTTTTATCCTTTCGGGAGTTGTTAGCAGTCCACATTGCATTTGGCTCATGTGGAGGTAGAACGCACAAACACTGGTGTCAGTTGGGTTGCGGGTTCTAGCCCCACAGGAGCCGGACAGAATACGCGCTGCTTACGATTCCCGAAGGGATGAAACGGCCGTCCAGTGTTTTTCCGGACGTGTGCTGGTTGTCTGAATGAGTCTAGATGCGATAAAATTGTACTTACAATTCAGATGCCATACTTCTGCCATCTAGCGGTTATACTGAATCAACACTTGGACCGGTACAATCGTGAAAAAGCCATCTGGCAGTTCCATAGGCTGATAAGCAAAAATACCACTGGACTACCGCACGGACTTCATGGACGGTACGCAGGGACAACCTTCAAATGGCATAGAAGTAGTTGCAGAATTCGGTCAAAGCACCCGGAAAATTGATGAAAAGCTGCCAGCTCTGAACGTTTGACGAGGGAACGGGAAAGTTGCATCTTCCAGCGCGCTCCACCAGTTTATTCAGTGTGTCATGTTCAGTTTTAAAATCTAATTATTTCCTTCAAACCTCGGAGGACTGGTTAGAGCAGTGAGTGAATCGTGAAACAAATTAAGGAGGTAAAGGGGTCTACAGTATGTGAGGAACGTGTAAAAAGTTCATACCATATCATGGACTTACTGTCTAACTTTTCGCTTTGATTTCACCGGGTTTGTTTTGAACACGGAGGGGCTTGAATGAGTGTACAAATAAACAAAAGGATAGGGAAAACAGTCATTTTTCCATGCATTTAACTTTACGCATTTATCGTTTCAATGCCAACCAACATAATGGGATAGCAGTGGTGGGAATGTGCTGTCAGTCACGACGAACTCAATTGCACCAGAGAAGCTGGTCTGACGAGCTCACGGCTATTAGGCCTGGATTCCTCTATGCGACAAAGCAACAGGGCGCCGGTTTCGAAGGTTCTCGGCCGAGTTTGTTTGGACACGTTGCCACGCCTAGGTTTATAAGCTTGTAGAAGTATGATTTTTAAGCCAATATGGCAAGTGTTTGGCACTGCTGTATTTAAATAGCTCACTCATACGTCTATGTGCCTCGAGCCGAGGTTGATGTTACGTACATGACGCTTCTTCACCGTAGTTGAGCTAAACCGAATTTCACTTAAACCAGATCTTTTTAATCTGGATAAAAGTTATTCTACTTTATTTGATTTGTTCAGTTTTGTTCTTTTGCTGCATCTTCTTGGTCATTTTTGTATGTTTGCTTTCCCTCGAATTCTATGTTGGCTGTTTGATATCTGCGATGCGGCTGAGCTTGATGTGTCTAAGACCCACCACCTCGGTTGCTGGCCCCAGAAGACAGCTGATCGTTGCTGGAGCAGATGGGGTGCACGGTCCTCGTGGCCGCGCTAGGCACAAAGAGTGGTTCCATGCATGCAGTGTGGAGCGGCCTACGGCCCAGTCACCGCCTACTGTACGTCTGATACGCATAATTTTCCAATTAGACATGAACGCTTCTGCTCTGCTTGTTGTAGAAGCGTGGGCCGGCTCCGTTGAGAAAACGTGGCTTCCATCCACATACCTTCTGGTCTTATTCCTTTGGGTTTACACTGGATATGAGGTGTGGATGGAGTTATGGGTGGTGCAGCGCAAGCCAACCATGGTCCCCTTGTAGACGCAGGCATCCTGTAACGGTCCTATGAAGGCCGCAGTGACAGGCAAATCCGGAATAGGATACCGCCAACCATATGCCCATACTCTGAAGCTCAGTAGCTCACTGAGACAAAGGCAACTGAATGTCGCAGTTGTGGAACACGTGCCAATCTAAGGATCTAGCTGAAGTGGAAAACGTTAGGGACACTCATTTTAGGTGGGCGGATGACAAGTATCAGGTCGGATCGCAGTCCCTTTATCTCTAGCTGACTAGTGCTAATAAGCGCGCGGCCGGCTGTGGAGTGCGATGATGTGTGCGCAGAATCATGAAAACCAACCTGCCTCGGATGTGTGGAATCATGTCAATGTTCAAGACCAGCACTGAAGGTATAAACCCGGCGTGCTCTCTTATTCTTGCATCCAAACCTCCGAGATGTAAAACAACACACATTGCGGGAGTCGGTATCCTGACATGCGTAACACATGGCACCGACGTCGGATCTCAGAGTGTGAAATAACGGAGTTGAGCAGTTCCCTCGTTCTAGGGCATCAACATTGCGGTGGTACCTACTACCGACGCTTCGCCGCAGCGCAACCGCCACTGGTCGTACATGGGCTAGGGATACTGCGATGGTCGCCCTGCCCCCACGCAGGCTCGAATCAGCGCCGCAAGACTACGCGACAAATTCGTTATCTCTAGGCTACGGGTCGGGCCATAACCAAGGTGGCGAATATGCTCATTGCCTATGTGGTGTTTATACGAGAGATGAACAGAACTGAGAAGGCACCGGTGGTAGAACGCAACAAGCCCTTTTACGTTTATCAACTCTTTCGGGATCGTTTGGCGGTTGAAGCATCTAAGTATGGTAGAAACTTCGCCCCATCGAAGTGAAAAGTACTGCTCAAGGATTGCCTTACACCTGCTCCCGTGCTCACTCTCGAAGGTACACAACTTGAACAGGTAGATAGTTTCGTCTACCTTGGGAGCTGTGTTACTGCTGACGGCACTATCAACAGAGAAGTTTCTCTTCGCATCGCTAAAGCTAGATCAGCATTTGCCAATCTGAGGCACTTGTAGCGTCGTCGTGATGTCTCATTCTCGCTAAAGAGCCGCGTTTACAGCGCATCAGTTCGCTCAGTGTTGTTGTATGGGAGCGAGTACTGGCCGATTCGCGTGGAAGACATGCGTCGGCTTTCTGCTTTAGATAACGGTTGCTTAAGGAGGATTGCTCGTGTTGGTTGGCAATATCGAGTTAACAGTAATGACGTTCGACATCGCACCTTGGGGAATGCGAGTATGCCCTTCAACATACTGATTTTGCTGCGCCAGTTGAGATGGCTCGGTCACGTCCTACGCCTTGCACCTGAGCGTTTACCGCGTCACGTTTTATTCGCTCGTAAAGGACCCGACTGGAGAGGACCGCGTGGTGGTCAGCCTTCCACTTGGCAACAGCAGATGAAATCGCTGACGTCGTGTCTAGCCGCTGTTGGACCCGTACGTCTTCCAGGATGGGGACCCAAAGATGAGGAGTACCAATGGTTTAACACACTTGAAAACATGGCCCGCAACCGGGATCAGTGGAAGAATTGTGTACAGTATTGTATTGATTCACATGTTTAATACTTAAAACATTGAAAATAACAAAAAAGATAAAAATCGGCGTGTGAAACACAAACCAATAATGTTTTGATCTACTTTTTGTCAAAATGTTCCTGTCTTCCTGCTGCATAGTAGTTGAAGTGTGTTGCTCACCTTCAACTGCTATGCCACGATGATTATGACGCAGTGACTTCCCTTTACATGTTAATCTCCATGGCTCTGTTGGGTCTATGTCTAGTTGCTAGACTGTTGAGATTAGATACGTACATACGTCTATCAAAATGATGGGCAAAGTTGACTAATAAATTGGAATGTTGGGTAAAAAGAACAAGATAAAGCTAACCTTCCATCTAACTCCAGATCTTCCTCATCCTGCAGAGCTGCTTCGAGTGCAGCCACCACTTGTGGCGCAAGCTGTGGCGGTTCATAATCCTTTGTGGTTCGACCGGGTAAATCCAAATCCAAACTTAACAGTTGTTCTCCTCGATATCTAGGATTCGCACTCAACTTGGAAGCCAAGCGAGCAACTTGGCACACAGGACGACGGCCACCCAAGGCCGGTCTCAACGGAGGAACCAATAGGTCAGTGGGTTTTGGAACACTGTGAATTGTGAAACGTGTGTGCACTTAAGCTGGATGGAATTATACCAGAAATGGGAAGCCTTAGCGTACAAATATTACAAAAGGCACAGTCAATAGATCCATTTTAGCTTCATTACACAGAATTAAAGGGCAATCCAAGAAATTGCTTTATGCATCCCTGGCGGGCGAATATACAGCTACAAAGACTAATGATCTCAGTACTGTAACGAAAACGAAAACCCGATTATGGAGTAGTACCATAAAAAGCTGATTGGTAGAGAATAAACAGAAAGGTCATGATTTTGCAAACCGACTGGTGAGGTTTGCTCGACAAAATTGGGGTATAGCAAAAAGCACGAAAGATAATTGATGACCAACGAGCGGTAGGCTTGTGTGCGAGCATATATCAACTTTCTTAAAAGAATTGGTGTGTGTAGACAGACGTGTGTTGACAAAAATGGGCATCGGATCGTCGCTACACAGGAATAAGTGCCTCAATGACCTGACAATTAAGTTACAGTGCTTATCCAGAAGACCGGGAAAAATCACAGTGAGCAGTATATCAGGGAGGAGAACGTAGGCATTGAGAAAGCGAAGGGTAAGTTCATGACGGACAGAAGAGACTCGCAGCCTATAGACGTAGAGCGATAGCCTTCTAACTTTTGAGAATGATCTATTTATATGAAGAGTCTAAGATAAACCGTAGTTCGGTTTTACACTTAGGTACTTCAATGATGTAAGAGAGTGTAATCTATCGCCGTCAATATGCAAGTCAGGCTTGCAATCCTTAGATCATCGGTTGGAAACCGCGGAAGGGGTGGGCATCCTCGTGGTATACTCAGCCCACGCTCGAACGGTAGTGTTTGCGCGGCAACGAAGCGTTGGCACTATAGTAATCCACCGTGAGTAAGTAATCTTTCCCGTTAGTACTTAATAAATCCACCGCCAACTTCTGCCACGGTGGGTCAGGGAAATCATGCAGCATAATTGGTTCCTTCGTCTACCGCAGTTCGTGTGAACGGTACACCTTACACTTCGATACATGCTCTTTTATTTGACCTGTCATTCCTGGCCAAACGACCTAAATGCTCTTGCTCGATTAATGGGATAGTTGACCCCAAGGTGAGCGCGATGAACGCATCTCAGCATTTGTCGTCGGAGCGATGACGGAATCGGAATACGGCTCCCCCTGAACAGCATACCATCTTCAGCAGATGCTTCGATGTCTCTGGTCACCCATTCAGAAATACGTCTCGCAAAGCTGAAAGACTTGCATTTTCCTCTGCGTGGCGTCTTATTTCCTTTAGGCGATCTTCTGTCACTGCCAGATACTGTACTAAGGTTACTGCTTCCACCTCTTCCGGATTATGCTCAGGTACCGACAGATGAGCTCTTGACAGCGTATTCGAGATGAACATCTGTGTACCAGGCGTATACATAATATCTACGTCGTACTTGTGATGCCGAAAAAGCATACGCTGAAGGCGATGAGGAACAACGTGCAGAAGTTTCTCGGCTATTGACACAAGCGGTTCATGATGGGTATACAATGTTGTCTTTCTTCCGAAAGTATAAAGGTTGAAACGCTCCATGGTATAGACTACCGCAAGCATCTCCTTCTCAACCTGCGCATATCACTTCTCGGTCACGGTGAGTGCTCGACTGCGGAAATCCAAAGCTATTCCATTCTGTAATAGAAACGCACCTATTCCGTTTTGGCTACCGTCACACGGTACCTCCAAAGGCTGCGCTGGAACGTAATACCCGAGTATAGGCGCGTTGCTGAGGAGGTGCTTAATAGTTGAGAATGCGGCTTTCTGTTCATTTCTCCAACTGCACTTTACATCTTTGTGAGTTAACTTCCTGATCGGCGTCAGGATATCAGCGAGTGTTGGCATAAACTGCTCAAGTAATTCACCATACCGTTTAAGCGATGGATTCCCTTCAGGTCGTTAGGGGGTGGCGTCTCTGGATTGCCTTAAGTTGTCATGGATTGACCCTGATCCCTTGGGTTGTTAGCAACTGCCCATGGAAAATCACATCTTCCCAAAGTTCAGTTTTCTCACGTTTAAGCTTGATGCTCTTTTGCATGCAACGCTGCAAGAAATGGTGGAGATTGGCGTCATGTTGTTCTTCTGTCGAGCCATAGAACAAAACATCGTCTGCCACGAATGTTACATCATCTAAATCATATACCGTTTGCACCAATCCCTTGAAAAATTTTACTTGACACTTGCAAACCAAACGGTAGATGTAGCCAACGAAAACGACCGAACTGTGTGGCAAAGGTAGTCAGAAAATTGGGTTCTTCATCTGAAACTACTTGTCAGAATATGGAAGACAGATCTACCTTCGAGAAATACGTAGCTTTGACCAAACGCGGCAAGCTGTCTAGTAAGGTAATTAGAGCATAATGTTCTGTACGCCGGACCTCATTCAACGATTTTGGGTCAATACACACGCACAGTTATCCGTTTTCTTCGTATTGATTGTGACCTGACTAACCCAGTCGGTTGGTTCGTCGAGTTTGGCAATCACACCCTCTCTCCCTAATTTGCGCAGTTCAGTGGAGAACCTGTCACGCAGCACAAACGGAACTCCCATGGCCTGTAACACAGTCGGTCGTATCAAAGGATCTAAGAACAAGTGAACGGTTCGCTCAAACTTTACCAAACCAGGGCTAAACACAGGCGGATACTGATTTGGAAGAAACTTCCAAGTGATAACAGAACATGCTATACTCTTTGCAATTTCAAGCTTGCTATTAGTAAGCATTTAACCGTCCAAAACGTGATTAAGATGTTCGGGACATCACAGTCCCTAGATAACGCATTCGAAAACGGTATCCATGGTGTCTGAATAAATTTCTGAAACATATACACATAACATTTCGGACAACAGCCCCTTTCATTCCATTTTTTTCTCTCGGCCCAAATATCTATCATGTGATTGTGAAGAATCCTGATTCAATGGCAGGTAAAAATAGCAGAACGATTCTGATCACTCTGTGTAACATAATTTGCAATTGCATCCATGTTTATCTCTGAAAATGTATTGATGAAATGTCATGAAAAAGTTGTACCATTATTTGATCTGTTCCTTATAGAGAACAGCTTCTCGCATCGTCGAGGAATATACAATTTATTTATTATTGAGCCGGCGTAAGCAGAAACATGAAAAGGCGACAGAATTGCTCTCTGAAGGACACCGGAGTGGATAAATAGTACGGAGAAACAGCCGTCACCGAGTCGAGCGAATGGATGATGAAAGGATGTTTACATTGAACGAGTAGGTCTTTTAGCAGCAATTCGCGATTTACGCAGTTGATTGCTTTGTTATGGTCAATAAAAAACACATTCGAGTTGCTTTGTCTCTGTCGTCAAGTAATAGATACGTAAGCGGAGCACGTAGGCTGTCCGCTACATGCAAAGGTTATCAGCACGGGCGTGCTACGAGCTTTCACCTTTTCGCTGAATTTTGGAATCGTGTGAGAATTGATCGGCCAGCAAATACCAACCCGCGTCAAAGGAATTGAACTATTCCATCAATATGATAAAGCCGTGCCTGAAAACTAACTGAAAACCGGAGGCAAAAGTGAACTTGACATCCTAAATTAGCATGTTTCGTTTAACAATAAGTAGAGTCAACCTATCCTGTAGAGATACTCACTCTGTCTACCGAGTTCTGGCCTTTTGTAATCTTTCGGTTGGATCGGCGCGTGAATGAGCAGGAAGACAGACGCAGTCACACAGGATAGCAGAGCAAGCAGTACAACAGTTGTCAGTGGCAGAGAGCAGAGGGAAAGAAGCAGCGTTAAAACATCAAGCGATGACAGCGTAGTATGTGTGAGGCAGGCCACAGTATCTAGGATAACCCTTGAACCACGGTAGGCGAACTGAAGGAAGTTATTGGAACGTGTTTGCGACAGCATCACTTCAAGAATGGTGTTATCTGGAATGTTAAAAGTAACGGAATTACAGACGATAGGCCGATGTTTGTTGGATCCCATTTCTGGCACTGGTGTAATACTGATACTTCTCCAAAACTTCGCGATTTTGTTTTGGTCCACCTACATTGTGTATACAGATGCAAGCTGCGGTGCAAAAGTACCGATACATTCTTTGAATATGATGTGAGGTAGTCTGTTTGGACCACTAGCTGTACCGGTACACGTAAGTGCTCCAGTAAATTACTCACAGTTATACTATCGACAGGAAGCAATGAGCCTACAGATTCCAGAACAAGGGCAAAGGAAGGCTCTGGAGTTATACTAGTATCGCAGTTATAGTACTTCCGGTTCAATTTTTCTACATCCACATCAAAATAAGGTACACGTCGAATCACTCTGCAAGCCGGTTCAGCATCCTCCAGAGTTCGCGACAGTTACCGTTCCCAGTTATAGATAGAATATACACTCGATTATGACGGTGTAGCTACTCCTCGATACGGACAGTGAGACCTAACTGTTACACCGCCTTTTCCTTTAAACGCCTTCTCCTTAAGTTGGTGCAGGAGCTTTAGGTGAAGGGATGAGAACTAGTCCGCTCACAAACGTTCCAGAGAATAACGGGCCCAAACGATTTCCCTGTTTCTATTGTCCTACCGTCAGCTTGATCCAAAATCACTTTTACTGCAGAGACTGTGTTACAGTAGCTGTTATCCCTGCGTATCTACAGCTCTCTTGGTGTCGATAACGTTCGGTCGAAAGCTTTACAGGCAGCAGCCAGTGACCTGGCGGAACGTCTGGCTATATTCTATCAGCGCTGTATGGAGGAGAACCATATTCCAACAGTATGAAAGCCATCAGTCATCACTCCTATTCATATGGGTGGCAGTTGCACTGACCCAACCAATTACCGTCCGATAACGCTGCTCCCTGTGCTTTTCAAAGTTATAGGGTCCATTATCGCTGATTCACTTATGCAGTATCTGGAAAATCACAACATGATAGCACCAGAGCAACATGGCTTGCGACAAAAACGCTATGCACTACGAACCTGCTAACGGCACACAATAGCTGGACTGAAGCAGTTGATGGTGGAGCATTAGTCGATGTCATTTAGCAGGACTTCTCAACAGCGTTTGATCAGGTAGACCACCGAATTCTAATCCATAAACTTCAGGTCTATGGCACTGGTGACCCAATGCTGCGTTGGATAGGCAATTTCCTGCACGAAAGTCGGTTGGATGTGAGAGTACGAGAATCCCTGTCCGTGCTCCGGTCCCGCCTATCTTTGATCTTACTAAACGATCTGGCGATGGAAATTACTTCCGATTTCCTATTCATCGCGGGTGATATCAAGTAATGGAGAGTGATCAGAGAACCGAACGACCACGAAAAGCACCAGCGCGACCACAACACGGTTTTGAACTGGTCAGTTCAGAATAGGCTAGCGTTCAATGTGAAAAAATGTCACGTTGTTCAACTGCGCCATAGGCATGACTACATGTATATGCTTGGGTCACATGTATTGCAAACAACCCAGGAACGCGACCTTAGTGTGCTCATTTAAAATAACTGTTCAAATCAGTCAGAAGCAGCAGTGAAGAGAGCTAACAAGCACATCGGCTTGTTGCGGACAGCATTCGGAAGATTCGACCCATCCATCTTCGCCATGATGCACAATTCTTACGTGCGCCCTCACGTTGAATACGCCATTCAAGCTTGGCAACCTTGGTTGAAGCGCGACTTAGAAGTGATGGCGAAACCACAACGCAGGGTCACAAAATACCCCAAGGGCCTGCGAAATTTGTCCTACCACCAAAGGCTAAAGTTACTGGGAGTTTTCAATGACCGCTACCGAAGGCTGCGATGCGATCTCATATTAACGTCTTCGTCCCATGAGCTCACAAGCTACATAGTACAGCCTAGCCCGGAAAAGCACCAGACGCGTCCCGCCGTACTAAAGCTCGTCAGCTGTGCGCATTCCATCCGTCCCTACTGGGGATCGAACGCATGACCACTAGAGGCAAATGCTAACTAGCAAGCAGCTTAAGCCACTGAGCAATGGGGGAAGTCGGCCGGGCTACATAATTTGCAAGATAACTGGGATATAGCACGACCTATCCCACTGCCACGCAGGTTACTACCTTAGCAGATGACAGTGGCTAGCCTCAGAAGGTCATGACTTTCTCTCACTAAACGCTACGTCCATAGCTTTTGAAACTAGGAGAGGCCACATTTTATATTATTAATGAGTATCAAATACTACCAAATATTGAGTAACCCTAATCACGTATGCCGTTACTTGCTGAAACTCAGCCATAACACCAATCACAGAGGTAACCCTCTGAAATTGTGTGCACAGTTTAGTAGCTTGGAATGCCGGCGGAATTATTTTTCTCTTCGGGTTTGCCAACCCTGGAACTCTCCCAAAGTTCGTTGTTTCCTCCCTCACTTTGGATATCGACAGAAAAAACGATTAGATCTGCCCCTTCGCCACCATCCCTTCGTTGCAGAAACTGTGCCACTTTGGAATATATTAATAATCCTTCCAAACCGGATTAATATGTCACATAAACCTAAGGAGGCGGTACAGAAGTTAGTATTTGGTTTTTAGTTTGCTCACCGAGTACATCAACTATAACTGCCCCCAAGTTGCCTCGTTGTTCCCATTCAATGTTCACTTACACTACTATTATTCAGCGGCATAGCTGATAGATAAACGCTCAAACACACAACTCATGTATCATTTGATATTGTAGTTTTACCCCCACCATCCTGCGAGAATAGTCAAGCAAGTGCTTTTTTTCCTCTGCATTAATCATTGTTCATTGTTCCAATGGACAACAGATGGCAAACCAGAAAGTTAGATACCTTATTTAATTGTCGCACTCACAGAATACGTCATGGCCAAAGAATAAACCACATTTATGGATGCAACCATTTCACGAAACCAACCGATATTTTGTGAAGAGCACTGCATTGACCTGAACCTTCGGTCTTTGCAGCGTGTGTTATCTTGATGGTTTGTCTTGCTAGATGCAAGAAGAAATCCTGATTACTGAGTAATCGGAACCGACAATCGGAGCCCGATTACACACACAGAACCACTTCACATTAGTGACGAACACCAGGTCCAGAACCACATCTAATCTGGTGATGCTATCCTTGCGCCATAGAGGATCCTCATGTTGCACATAAGCCAATTTGTCTGGAAGTAGATTAGTAACCACTCTACCGAGGATACATACACATTGACCACGTTGAGCTAGCATTCAAAGACACAGGCTGACCAGTGGTGTTCGTGATCCGGAGGCTAGTAGCTGCACCCGAAAAAAGCACTGAGGATTATCATTTCTGTCTTACGTATTGTCTGGTTTAACTAGAGCACAATGTGAGGAGCATCTCCTCGATTATTTACTGTGCAGAGGTAAGTAAGAGAAAACTAATGGCACAACGGAGATGGAAGAATCCTGGGGTTAGTTGGTGCTTCCCTTGGTTAAATTCGGTTCCCAGTGGAGCATAGAATAAATCGGGTTCTGTTAAAAAGTGTACATACACACAAGGCGAAAAAGGGACAGAGCAGACTTTGTGCCATTTCAAAAGGAACTGGAATTTTCGCAACCCCACAAAGGGAATAGGTGGATTGAGATTGTGGTCTATACCACTTCGGTGAAAATAAAGTAGGGAGCGCTCGATGGAGCAAAAGGCTACAGAGACGGCAAGGAAAACAGGTGGTAATAACAGGTGTGTGCAAGGAAAAGGTATGTGGGGAAAGTTGAAAAAAGTGTCAAACCCAAAATTGAGAAACACAACGGTCTTTTCTGTCATTTCACAATACTGTCGATATGACAATTTATGGTTTGTTCAATTCGTCCCAGTAGATAAAATGAAGGGTACAGGTGCGAGTTAAATGCATGTGTCGTTTGTAAAAACCCAATGAGTGACTAACAAGATGTTGAATTTGTGTTGTTTTTGCTCTATGAATAAACGAAGCAATACCCAACGGATTATCTATACGCTATGAAAGAGTTTAATGAGGTGTGTGAAGATGAGTTTGGTTAAAAGGACCAGCTACAGAGGTGAGCATTACACTCATGACAAACAAGTCTATACAGAGGTATCCATCTGATGACTGGATAGAAATTCGCCGCATTATGCGTCGTTTTGGCAGTTGGGATAAATGTTGGGTTAAAGTAACACTTATAAATTGCAACTTGATACTGTAAACATCACAAAATGTGACAGCAACCGCAATTTTTGTGTTTAATGAGCAAGTTTCATGAAAGAGATACCGTGGAAACTTTAGCTCTTTTTATCCTTTCATCTGCAAAAGCATTGGGTTCAACGACAGTTTTTAAGACAGTGGAGTAATTTGGCGGCCTGCTAATTTTTCGAGTTGACGTACTCACTACATTCAACCCTCCAATCCAAATAAAGTAGACAAATAAGTTTCATTGAAGAATACAGTAATGACCTTACTCTTTTTGATTTGTTGAGGAGTGGTCCCCATAGGATGCAACCAACGGACGCAATTGCCAACGTTCTGAATCAGTATCAAAATAGATGCGGGCTTCCAGTAAGGTACGCTCATCCGGAGGTATGAAGTTTTCCAAAATAAGCAGCCTCAACTTTATTTCTTTTGTCAGTCCATCCTGTAGGCTTTCATGTTCGTGTCTTTCGCGATTGTTCGCCTCTTGCAATGTGGCGATCTCTTGCTTTACTTCCTAGATTAGTAATGAAGTGGATAAAATTATGCCGTCAATCACCGATAAGGTGGGTCAACCCACATCACAGCACTGGCACATTTACCTGAAGCTTTTCAAACAGTTTTCGCAACTTCTTGGTGTTCACATCTACTTCTTGTTTCAATGATGTAAAGCCCTCCTGCAAGTGTGCCATGTCCCCTTCCGTTTCTTCCATGCGCGCCTTAATCTCTTGCTCTAGACGTCTTTGTTCTTCCATCTGGGTGCGTTGATGCGCCAAAGTGGCTTCCTGCATTCGTGTATGTTCCACGATAGATTGATCACCGCGAAGCAATTTACTCTCCATGGCATGCAGTTTCGCTTCCAACTGTTGGGTTTGTGCCAACTCCTCTTGTAGTTTGTCTTCTTTCATCTGTGTCAATCAAGTTGAATACCGAACGGTGAATCGTAAAAGTAAGTTCAGCAGTAGTAAAAGAAAAGAAGACAACCATTCATTTCACAATCGTCACCTACGTCCATCAATGATGGTGTAACTAGTCACGTATATATTTTACGTACTCAACAGCCAAAATCAGCTGCTATTTGCTTGACTGTAAGCCAAAGGTTTTGAGTGGTTTTATTTCTGTTATTATTAGGAATGTATACATACTCCCGGACACACAAGCGTCGGAGTTGAAAAGGTTTGCGGATGATCTATCCTCGGCGTTACTACCTAAACTTGACCGCTCGGTCTGTGTCGTCGTCGGGGACTTTAATATAACTGATATCTTATTCATCCAGGCAGTTGATTTGACTAATATGGTAACCTTTCCGACCAGACTCGAAGCGCAACCAGATTTCATCTTCACAAACCATGCTTGGCTGTTTTGTGCACAAAAACGTGCCCCACTCGTTAATTCCGAGCATTGTATCATAAAAGTGTGCCCGTCGTTTATGATAAGAGTTACTCCGATTCATTGGCTAATAAGCCCTACAAAACGGTGAGTTGACGAAATTGTTCACCATCAACTATTGCGAGACTCCAAGAAATGTTGACTTCTACTGATTTTAGTCTTCAACATCGAAGATCTGTCTATTCAGTGTGATCATTTCCCTGATTATCTTTCGCTTCGATCTTTGCTGCCCGGTCGCAACCATCCAGTTATGAGTCGATAGATCCTCCTCTCCATCACACAAATAATTTAAAAGGAAAAAAGAACGAGCCTACAAATGTAAAATGACTGCCCGAGTCAAACAACTCTCTCTAGCAATAAAAACCGAGATTTCACGACTGAATAACTTACATTTAAGCCGTTTTGCGCAACCACAACTTCCGAGGCTTATGGAGACTTTTAAAGCAGCTATGCGACAAAAGCTCCAATAAGCAGATGGGATTTGTGAATGTAGAGAAACTCAATTCTGAGTTCTGTTCTTCTTCGTCTTCATAGGCAGCATCCGCAACTCCTTCGTTTTCTCTGCCTTTGTTCTCTTGCTCCGGTCCAAAAATTACATTCCAACACTTTGAAGTCAACCGTGAACTCAGAAATCTGAACCCAAGGAAGGCTAGTGGACCCGATGATCTATCAGCAGCTGCTTGAAAGAGTGTGCTAATACCCTCACCATGCCAGTAACGGATCTTTTTAATCGGTACCTACACGGTGGAATTATTCTCGATATTTGAGGCCTGACAGGATAACACCTGTGAAAAAGAAGGAACCCACGAAATTCCGTCCGAGCGCCAGTACATCCGTCATACTGAAAGTCTTCGAACGACTATTTGTGCCTTGGACTTAAACAGGCACTCCAGCCGTGGACGTATCTGTTTGCGCACAGACCCTGACGTTCTACGCTGGATGCCGTAGGATATCTTGTTCATTCTATAGCATCTTCATTGGATGCGAAATGCAAGAATGTGCGGCGTCTCTTCCTTGATTATGCCAACGCTTTCGGCACTGTCGACAGATCAATCTTGCTTAAGCAGCTGTCTGAGAATGGTGTTCAACCAGCAGTGTGCAACCTGATGAGCAACTACTTCGTAAACCGATCTCATTTTACCCAGCTAAAGGGTAAAAATTCCCACACTCTTAGTGATGACTGGGGCGTCTTACAAGGAGCAATCCTTTCCTCTCTTCTATTCTCTCTATACATCGAAATACTTCAAATTCCTCCCAACTTTATTGAATATATTTACGCTGACGACGTAGTCTTAGGTAGCATTGCTCCAACTGCTGAATCATCAACGCTCTGCAAATCGGTCTGGACGAGCTTCAACAGTGGTCGTCGTCCCGATCCCTTACTCTCAACGCTTCCAAATGCCGCGAGGTAACTTTACCTTTTCTCCGAACTGACAAGCGTCTGACTGTGGCAAACACTACTTCCCTCATGGTCATAAGCGACCACAATATACCCAGTTCATCCACTGTTAAGTACCTTGGTGTATATTTATCTCACAATCTGTCTTGGTCAACACACGTTGACGAAACGTTCCGCAAGGTGCGGAAATTATCATTCGGGGCCCTCGGACTAAAAATGCTTTTAGTACCCTGCTCTTTAATGTACAAATTCGCGACTGCCTATATTCTTCCCACTGCTTATATTGCTCGCCTATCGTCTTTCCTGGTCTTCTACAAGATGACTTCACATTGATTGTGCGTTCCATTAAGCTCATTTTCAAGTGTAGTGGATTGTCCAGAAAGTCTCTGCTTGAGTTCATCGTTACCAAGCACTTATTGCATGTGACAAACTTTTAGCAAATGTTTTAAATGATCATTTGCGTCCCCTTCATGATAATTTATCTAAAGCCCTCTCCTACTCGTCTACCTGCTCTAAATTTATGATTTTGTTTTCTCGCATAACATGTTTTCGCAACTCTATAATACCGTATTTTTCCCGATTTCTTGTGGACTCCAAGAAACTTATCAGCACCACGCGTGGACGCTGATTTGAGTGATGTGCATGCACGTTTTCTTCTTTTTACGCTTTTATTACAATGCCATGCTTGCGTTATGCCTCACTACATCTGCAGTAATGTGTAAAAATGTTGGAACTGTTCTCAGTTGGGTTCATAAAGCCTACTTTGACTTGACTTGAGTTTAATGGTGCCTGACACATCGGATAATCCAAGCTTGCATAATGCAATAAGTCCACACACCGAAAATGATAGACTAGTAAACAATGCGTTGTGCCATGTTGAAGACAACTCAGTCATCAAGCACCAACACGAGGAGACGTCGTGAATTTTCTCTTGCATCACTCACATTTAGTTGGTGTAACAGACGGGATTTCTCTTCGGCAACCAACGAGTGGTCATTCATGATCGCTTCTTTCTGTGCTAAGAGTTTAGCCTGCTGGGCCTCCATGTGCGCGTCTGCGTCGACAGATTCACTTTCGCTCTCACTGTTCTTGTCATCTTCGGTCCCTGCAATGAGAGACACGTGAGGATCATTGTAAACAGGGCCTCCTGAAGTTCACTTTCAATGATGAGAAGTGTCGGGGTGGTATGGTTCTGAGATTATTTCACGTCCAGTACGGATAACAAATAGGCATACTACTGTCAGAGCAATAATGAAGATACTGAGTAAAAAGTATTAAAAATGCAGTTTCGTTCAAAGAATGATCGTATCTGGTGAGTCGGATTTGTTAAGCGATACAGTCATTGTAGGCAGTTGAATCACTCGCTTTGAAATACACTATCAGAGGGCAGAACGGCGACAAACACCACTTTCTCCGAGTGTGTTTACACTGTGCTCAACTGCGTTTATGTGAAAATAACTAAGCAGTTCACGTTAGTACGCAAGGCCTTTCAATCCACAAGTGAGAGTTCTATGGCCGGAAGAATTGCATGTTGGCCTTAATGATCAACTGTATTTCGAGAAGTGAAGTAGCTTAGATTGAGCTGTCCTGCCTGATTTTGAAATACACGCATAAATCTAACTAGTTGTCAGTAGATAATTAAACAATGATAGACTAGGTTGTTCACTTGCACGAGGGAACATCATCGATCAATCGAGCGCCCGATACCGGACACTCATCGGGCGGTCGTAAAATATGGCATTTTCTGTACGAGTGCAGTAAACTATAAACGAGATTAAAAAGCCGGAAACGTGGCTACAAGAGACTGAACGGTTTGCACAGCAAGATCCTGATCGGTAAATTAGTTGCTCTTTAGTGCACAATGTCATGGCTGCGTGTTTTGTATATCGATATACATCATATGAAATCTGTTTATAACCACATCAACTGTCCATCTGCGACTGAACAAATATCGATTAACTTCTTAGCATAAGCAAAATACTCATTAATTGTTAGTAGAAAAGTTCACTTTCGTGAATTAGTTCACATTCATATTATTATTATGCATAACCGCAGGTATAAGTATGCGGTTCATCTAGGTTATGCGACACATACACAGGTGTCACAATTTTGAGCGATTGCACGGATGCGGAGATCCGCTCTTCCGGTCACTTCGCGGATAACAGCACTAGCCGAACTCTCATCTGTTGTGGTGCGAGGCCGCCCCATAATTCGGGCGTCGCACACACTACCAGTGTTTTCGAACTTCTTCACCAGCATTAACACTTAACGGCCGTTTACAAGCCGTATTCCCGAGGTTATGCTGTTGCATAATCTCGTTGTCTCGGCTGCATTAAGTCCGCACTCCCCATATAATCGAAGAATAAGCACGCGCTAACCATTAGCGACTTGACGTAACTCAGATTGCATAAAATTCACCAAAATGAGTGTATCCTCGCGTTCCATCGCTGAAACAGTGATCCACTTAAGAAAGGAAGCTTACCGTGTGCCTAAACTTATCTGACAAATCTAACCAATATCCGAACCGCGATTTTGGCCTGTCTGTCCACAACCAAGTGCCCAGCTTGCGTACTGCACCTCATTGACCTGTGGGCTACCAGTTATCAGAGCAGAGATAAATTCCTGCCCAGGTGTGTGCTTTGCGGTTAAGCACACGGCTCCGATTGGATAACCTGACAACTAGTGCAAATTATCTGTCTTTCGTAGAGCCGCGGATCGTGTTTAATTGGATTGACATCATACGACTTTTGATCCACCTTTTCCGGTCGGACGGTAGGCATCGCCCATAACTTTGTTTGACTACAGGATCACACTCGTAATACCTGAAATGTCGTAACACCAGTAAATTCTTCCCACGCAAAGTTATCGGTGAGGGACTAATGCTTGCTTAAGGAAAGATGTTACAGATCCCATACAGAGAAAAGCAGTCTTGGATTCAACGGAGGCGCTGCCAAGTCATGATTGTTCGTAGATGCCGACGTTAGTTTCAACATGTAACAGAGAGGGATTGCGTGGATACCCGACAAAAGGATATAGTCGGTCTCGCAATGCACCGAGGCTATTGTTCCAGGTGGCTTGGATTCTGAGGCTATCGCATTTTGTGGCAGTTCAAGATGCAATATGCCAGTAACTGACGATTTCGGCGGCCCGCAATGCGATGCCTGCAACCGATGGTACTACCAGCTTTGCACGGACCTAAATACCGAACAATACGCAGCGCTGGCCTGCAGTGAAGAGTTGCTTTTCAGTTGTGTCAATTGCTGCAGCCACCGGCAAGGCCGCGCGGCATTTCGAACAAGAGACGAATCTCTTGATGCCCGGCTTCGAAATGTAGTGCGTTCGTTCTCGATGCTCTTAGATCTTCACCGCAAGGCTGATCTGCTCATGACGACGGTTCTGGTCACCAACAACGCAGATTTGATCGCTTACACTGGAGATCAACTTGTGGCATCAATCATTGTGTCACCCGTCTAGATGGCTGCGGACCACAAGAATGAAGCTGCTTCGGACGTCGTATTTAAAGATACCCTGATCAACGCCGAATTGCTGGTTCAAGGGTCCATTAGAGTAAAGCGAAAGAGACCTGGAAAACCCGTAAGCCCTCTGTTAAAAAAGAAGCTGTAGTTGTCTCGGCACCGGAAACAAGCCAAGTGTTGTTACTTGTCAAGCCGTCTGACGGTTGTGCGAAGGCGAAGATTCCCACCTGCACTACTTGTCAGTCAAAGGTACCGGATATCTCGGCTCTCACCGATAAGACATCTGACGGTTTGCTTGCCTCTGCTCAAAGCGACAAAACATCACGGGACCTTGCTCCCGTTATCAAGAAGAAAAAGGAGATCAAATCTATCATAAAGCCTTTCGGTGGACTTGATGACGCGAAAAAATAAGACACCGATAATTGAGCGAAAAACATACGCTGCCGTTGCCACATAACAGTCTCATCATCAGTGGTGAAGCCATATGCACCAAGTGTCGATTCAAAGACCCGTGGGGTTAATACACCTCGTCGTGGTGATTCTTTCACGGATTGTAGCGTTATATTCCGTAGCGCGGCTGAATCCACTGTTGTCCATCCTGATGATCGCATGTTGGACAACCTTCAGTGGCTTAAAATGTGCGTAACGAAACTGGGGAACGTCCCAGTTAATGCACCAAACCATCGACCGCTGCTACTTAGTGTTGCACTCTCTACCTCGGGGGAACGCAACGCTCTCATGCAGTTTGCTTTTAAGCTGAAAGATACTAAACTTAGTGTTCAGCCGGACCTTCAGCTGACCGATAGGCTGAAGCTAAAGGAGACCAACAAGGACCTCAAAAGTAAACGAGCGGCCGGTGAACAAGGTTTCCGGTTAGTGAGTTTTCGGGAGGTCAGCTGGCGGTCCTTTTCCGCCCTACCAGTGCCCATTCTGGTAGTGCACGACCCAGGTCTGGACCTAACAAATACCTTCAGATAGTGTTAAGTAATGTACGCAGCCTAAGGAATAAGGTGTGAGAGTTAGGCCTGCTTGTGGATGGGTCTCAACCCGACATACTTGCATTCACTGAAACGTGGCTGTCTCTAGACATCACGTGAGCCCCAAAACAGTCACCCACACGCGTGACGTGCGTGCTCTTGCTTCATTTGGATTATTTCTCTCTATCCTCTCTCCGTCTGTTCGCAGCGTTGCCACTGTACGCTTATTCGAACCAGATTTACCAGCCCTACACAATGATCCATCATACGTGGAATTATCTTCTACGATTACAATCCGTGCCATCAATTACTGTTGTCATCCGTGATTAAGTGCAAGCGGATAACTCAATCACATTGAGCCGATTGCATTTCTCTTCCATTCGATACAGAATTCTCGAGGCAGTTTGAAAAGCCTAAGCTTATTCCAATTGGGTGTTTCTCAAGGTATATATGAAGGAATTTGTGATCTCTCAAACTGTGTTCAGCGTTGTATTTAGATTCATTTACTAGGTCTTAAACCAGTCGGGCTTAACATCGATCGATCAACCGACCAACACTGCGTGTGCTTAAAGGGATCACTGCTGACAGCGGGCGCGCCACGCTGACTCACGCTTATCATTGACGCGGGAAGCTGCACTAACTGATCATCCGACAAACTCGTGACCTTAAAACTTCACGCCCTCGGCGAACATGTCTCACGTTAAAAGCAAGTGTGAGTTGTGTGTTAAATTGGTGAAGAGTGGGCTAGTTTTCAGCAGTTGCTGGAAAACCTATCATACAAAATGCCTTGGGTCGGAGTCGATAAAAACGAGACGGTACAATAACAAGAGAGAGGCGTTTTGCTTATGCCCAGTATGCAGTGCTATCCCAGTTGCTAACTGTCTAACTGTGCCACTGAAGAAGTGTGAAATACTCACAGAGGCAGTCGGGCAACTGGTGTGCGCCAGTGTTACCTATGACAGGAAACGGACCTGCAATTGTATGTGCAAATGACACCCCGAAGTCCCCATTCAGGCCGAGGAAGAGTCAGGCATCCCAGCAATAACCCAAGGACTCAGCCTCAATTAGTAGCAACTCGCTTCTCTCTCTTTCCCATAAATAAAGACGTTGCCTGCAGCGTGCCTGCTTCAGCATCTGTACAGTGTGTTACACTTAGTAGTTTGTTCGCTACACAGGAGACCTTAAGCTGCAGTCAACCAGCCATTGTGAGAACCAGCTAACATACGCATCGGTTGCCGCCAAGCAAACACCGGAAAGAACACCGGTAACCTTGGTGGCCGAACTAGAGAAAACTAGAACTTCGCAGCACGAATGGCTCTCATCAGTGCCGTTCACAAATTCACCAAAACCCTGGAAACAAAGGCTCCAAAACCAGTATCTACCTGACGCGACCATGGTGCCTTAAACCTAGTGTGCACTAATATCCCCGAATCCAAATCCAATACAGACAATCGAAATCAATGGAGTCCCATCTTTACGGCAATTGGTATCCATGCTGATCCTACGATATTAAAAGGCATCTCCCGTCACACAAACGCATTGCACCACGGTGAACCCCGGTTAATTCGGGTAACACTGAACTCAGGGGATGAGGCAGAGGCCGTTCTGCTGTCCGCGAATCGACTCCGCAACGCCTCAAGTGGAGTGCGCATA